TATAACTAAAAATATAAGTGTCATTTTTTTTGTAACATACTGTATATATAATTAAATATTTAAAATCAAATTAAAATATATAAAATATTTCAAAATATTAAAAAAAAATCCAAAATCAAATATTAAATTAAAGATTTTTTTGTTTTAAATTTTTAAATCTTTTAAAATTTTAATAATTTTATAATATTTAAAATAATATTATTAATATAATTTTAAAATTCTAAAAATTTGTCATATTCTAAAGATCATTATGTGTAATTAAATAATTTATTAGCCAAGAGATAATACATTAAAAATTTAAACTATTGATATTATTGTGAAAAAACTTAGCTAAATAAATACGTCTTAATTAAGAAATTGGACATCTAGAAAAAAACGAGAAAATGAAGAAAGTCGATTATTATTACAATAGATTAAATAAAAAATAGATAAATAAAATTCCAATTTTTAATACAGGAATTGCATAATGGTCTAACTTCGAGAAACCGAGGGCAGGCCGAAAGAAGAAATTCCAATAAAAATGTCACACATGTCAATCATTATTGCACCAACGCATTTGCCGAGACTCCCTAAATTCATGCAAGCATATATTTGGAAAAATAATGACGTTAGAAACAGAATGAATATTCGTATGCATGTGAGGTCTCTTTGATCATTCAGCAATTATGTGACAGTAGTACCAGCAGTTCGAACCTAAAATGGCATCATTCCATTGGATATAACTGTTTGTGTTAGTCGAACCTGTTCGGCTGAATACAGAAATGTATTGGATACCATCGCAGATTCTTTATTCTCGTTTATTATGAATGAAAATAATTTGGTCGTGTTATTTTACAAAATCTTTTGACTTAACATTCCGGTCGGGATTATTATAATAATCTGACGAAAATATAAAAGCCTTACTTATCTCCCTTGAAAATACTTTTTAAAATCTTCAATTTACAAATGAACACCACGAAGCTCCGTTCCGATCAAATTTTCAAGTTTCGCCGAAATTATTCGTAATTTTTGATTATCCAACGAAGTTGAAAAATCTTAAATATCCGATTTCAGCTATCCCTATTTATCGGTACCCAAATGACGTCTAGAAATATGGCTTTTTTCTCGCAGTGGTCGAATTTATGTGAAGTCATATTCTAGATATTAATTTAGATAAAAGAATAATAAAGGCTGATCATCGTAATGATGATGGTTAAGTCGCGCTTAATGGTAAACAACTTAGTTTGTTGAAACTATTGCCATTTCCTTTCTTAAGCAATATATAGCACAATAATATTTGTCATTAAATACTGAATGCCTTATAAAAATGTCGTTCGTTATGCTTAAAAATTTTACTCTTCTCAAACCTTTGTTAAAAAAAACAGAAATCTACACATAAAAAATCTCCTCTTTTTCTTGAAATGAACCAATTATGTATTCCCGACATCGACAATGAATCGAATATCGATAGAGTATTTTCAACAGCATCGAGCATCAATCGTACGTTTCAAATGATGATGGCACCATCATGTTTTTCTAACGACGATGGCATCGAACGTCAATCGTACATTTCCAACGACGATGGCATCAAAAATAAATCATGCACTTCCGACAACAATGGCATCGAACATAAATCGTGCATTTTCAACAATGATGGAACAATGCTATTTGTTTTCATATATATTGAGTGTACCTATAAACTTCTACTACCACCATTAAGTGAATTTACCTTTCCGAAAGAAGGAAAGAAGAAAATAAACATCTTTATATTCTTCAGAAACAACATTCAACCATGCATACAAAGCTTATTCGACAGTAAAAATCTTAATCGTCCCAAAAATGGAATGGTATCGAAGTACGTGGGTAAGCTGTGGAAAAAAATACTTGATGAAGGGTATAAAAAAGAAATGAAGCGTCTTTTCGATAACTACTATAAAAAATTCACTATCAACTATGAAATAGTCGAACAGAATAAGCACCTAAATGGAAAAGCCAAAAGCAAAAGATCGAATAGAAAAATTAATCATAAAAAAGTTATTCAAACTTCCCTCGAGGAAATGTCCTTCGAGGATTCGCTTAAATATCAAAACCAAATGACGGCTGTGAGTGAACGTTTCGAGCCGGGTTCCACTCTAATGCCACACCTAGAATATATGTGGGAAATGCCTTTCGAAGAAACGCCTAAATATCAAAACTAGATGACATCTGTGTATGATCCTGAAGGCCGTTTCGAGCCGGGTTCCTACCTAATGCACATCCAAATTGTACAATGTGTGGGTTTGGAAGGGATTTGTGTATTTCGATTTTTAATGGGTAATTATTCACTACATTTATGATAATTTCTAACACGTAACATGAGGTGAAATAGATCCGTTATTCTATAACCTTTCATTTTGTATCATATTTTGTCTTTTTCTGTTGTTTCTTAAAAGACTTTCATAGGGTCAAATTAATTATTGTATAAAAATTTCTTTTTTATTTCAATCGGTAAAAAGGTTTACTTATTTTTCGGGAAAAGAATGCAAATATTAAATGTGGGCTATTAATTTTCTAAAGATTTTCACTTGAAAAAATAAATTATTATTGTGAAAAAAAATCTTATACTGGACTGTAATTACAAATTCAATTTTAATTAAGTATATTAATTAATTGTTGTATTGTTATGGTGTGTCACAGCGAGCAGTCGCTTCGGTTTGGCTCACGCCGTATAATGATCATTGGGTTATCTTGTTCCGGAATAGGCGTGTATGTTTGGTCGAGTATGCTGTATATCGTCTGATCGTAATATGGGTTGTTAATTGATCTAGCTAGTTTGATGCCTCCCGTTACATTCATTATTTATCTCTCTCTTTTATACTTCTCTATTATCTAAACAGTATATACAATATACCTGATATACTTATACTTGATATACCTAATATACTGATATACCTAATATACTCGATACTGTATACCTAACGCTAACATATCTGATGTACCCAATTATTCTATTCTTATAATTTCCTGTTACTTATCTATTTCTTTTCCCTATAATAGTATTATATAAATTTTATTTAAACTATTTTAATTGTAATATAAGATTTGATATATTATATTCTTATTCTTATTTTATACTAATTTTGTTTTATATCCTATTGATCATATATAACATGTTGTCAAACTATCATATATATTCAGCAGTAAAATCTTTATAATAATGAATATCATCAAACAAATAAAGGCAGACTCAAAAGCTTTCACTTTTTCTATAATTTTATTTAAAACCCAGATATAATATAACTAATATATCTCTTAATATAAAACAAACTTCTTTTAGAGCTAATATAAAAAATAAATTGTTTAAGAAAATGCATTAAAATATTTAATAAAATTTTTTCAGAATTTATTACCTTTATGTAATAGATTTTTTTTAGAATATAAAAATAATATATATTAACTATATTTATTATTTGTATTATAATAGTATAATATAGTTATTGAAATATTCCAAATAAATTAAGGTTTAGTTATTCTAATTCAAAATATATTGGTTTTAGTATATAATAAAAATTTATCAATTTATTTAATAAGTAAAAATTTTTATATATTGATATAATAAGTTGAATTTTTTCTTTTCAAATATTATATTTAATAATATTATAAAAATATTATATAAATTCTTAAGATGCCATTATATAATTTGTTTTTTAATTGGTTTTAAAAATAAATATTATTTAAAAATAATTTATAATTCTTTATTTATAATATTAACAAACAATAAAATATATTCTTAAAAAAATCAAGCTTTAATTTTTTGATTTATTTTTGATTTTTCAAATATATTATTAATATCAAAAAAATCCAAAAATAATTTAAATAATTCAAAAATAATTATTATTGATTTATTTTATCTTTTGAATTAATATCTTAATAAATAGATTTTTTATTAATTTATAATTTAAAAAACAAAAAAAAATTTTTTTTTAATTATTAATATATATTTTGTTTATTGAATATTGTATTAAGTATTTTTACAAATTTGTAATACAAATTTAGTACCATTTATTCATTAAATTATTTAAGATAAAAAAAACTAACTATTGGTTGACTTGTTATTTTTTATACTTTCTATATATATATTGAATTTTCTTATAAGTAAACATTATTTTTTTATTTGATATTATATAAAACAAAATATATTGTAAAAGAAACAATATTTCACAAGTATATTATATTGTTATAGAGAAAAATAATGAGTATAGAGGGGTCTAAAAAAATTAGACCCTACAATGATAATCCTCATTTCGCTTTTGTGATGATGATAATTAAATTATTAAAATTGAACCTGCATCGATACTGCGCATTAACAAAAGATATTTGTTTTTGTTCGTTTAACTATTTAAATAAAAACTTTTTTCTGAATTTGAACCATGTACAAAGATGGGACGTAAAAGTGATCTTACGAATGGAGAACGTTATACTATAGAGATATTAAGAAAAGAAAGCACAACTATTATCAAAATTGCACAAATACTTAGACGATCGGAATCTTGTGTTAAACGTTGTATTAGACGATTGAAATTAACCAAAACTTCCGATTATTTACAAAGAAAAAATAGTGAAAGAAAACCGATTATCAATAACCGTTCCAAATGATTAATTCTTTGAAAGCTTAAAAGTGATCCATTAATTAGACAGATGCCAAAACGTATCTTAGCTACCAAACTTCCGCCTGTTTCTATTTCTCATCAAACATTAATTGGGGTTTTTAAAAAAAATAATATTAAATCCTATATTGCTCGCAAAAAACCATTCATCAGTAAAACAAACAGAGTTAAACGACTAAAATGGGCAAAAATCCATCAAAAATGGACTAAAGAAGATTGGAAACGTGTTTTGTGAACCGACAAATCTACCATTAGTACTGATTCTTACAGAAAGATTTGTATTTGGTGTTATAGAAATGAATTATACAATCCAGATTGTGTTCAAAAAACCGTTAAAAGTGGACGCAAATCGATAATAGTTTGGGGATGCGTAAATGGACATAATTTACGCCATTTACTTCAGACTTTTTCACGTATGAATGGTGAAGAATATGGTAATCTTATTTTGGATACCATTTATCCAATAATTTTAACGTCAGAAGAACCAATATTGCAAGAAGATAATGCGCCGATTCACAAGTGTAAACTTGTAAATAAGATTAAATCCGAACTTGATATTGTGACCATGGAATGGCCATCTCAATCGCCGGACCTCAATCCAATCGAAAATGTATGGAGAGAAGTCAAATGCTGGATTCACAAGAACCGAAGACCACAAACCGAATCCGATCTAGAAGAGGCCGTTACTGCAGCCTAGAATAATATTAAATTTGATAAAATTTGTAAATTTATTGATTCTATGCCAGATCATGTGAAAGAAGTAGTAAAAAAAAAAGAGTACACAACCCATTGGTAGATTTTTTTTTTATAAAAAAAATAAAAATTTGTCACATGTTTTTGTCGTTCTGAAAATCGGGGTCTAATTTTTTTATACCTCTCTGTAGATTATAGGAAATTATAAGGGTAAATATATTAGGTATAAACAGTATATCAGATATAAGTGGTATATCAGGTATAATAGGTATAATAGATATAAAATAAAAATGTATATAAGTGACCTGAGAATGGTTAAAAAGTGAAAAGAACCAAAATAGGTACTGTGCAACTGTTAAATAAAAACCATCTTTATTTGATAAACTATTGCCTTGTAATTGACCCCAGCATTGCGTAGCTAATGGAATTGCTGCGCGTGAAGTAACCATTGAGAACACAAGATCGACAGACTGATCTGCGTCAGCGTTACGAACTCTGACCAAATTCACACATCTCTTTTAAGCAGAAACTGCCCGATCGTTACAAGGCGTGAGACAGATCGAAGCGACTGACTTGCCGTGATTTCACCACAACAATATATAACAAATTAAAATATTAGCTTGTCCATATATATATATCTAACTAATATTAAAAAAAAAAATTCAAAACAATATTATATTTTAATTGTATTTAAATAGTAATTATACTTATTTACTTAAAAAACTTTATAAAGTTTTTTTGTAAATTTGCAAATAAAGTAATTAATAAAAAAATAAACATAACTAAAACTAAAACCAAGTAAAATAAATTATAAAATCTAAAAGCAGTAAATCAAATATGATTTCAAAAGAGTTTTTAGATAAACTTGTAATTTCATCTCTTCAACTCTTTTTTGATTACTTTAGATAATAAGTAAACTAATTTTAATTTTTTGATTAGAAAAAAATATTGAAAAATTTGAAATAGTATAACAAATATTATTATAATATAGTTAAATTTTAAAATTGACTTTAAACAAACAGTAGATCTATTAACTTGTTTGAGTATATATTTTGAAAAATATTTAATTTAGTAAGTATAATATTAATGATATAAATAATTTTTATAATAGAATAAAATAAGAAAAAATACAAGAGAATAAAAGAACAGAGAACTGTTATAAGCTTTTCTTTATATAACTAAAAGATAAGCAAGACTTTCAAACTTGAATAGATTTTGATCAAAGATTTCATTATACTATACTTATTATCTTAAAGGTTCTTGAGTTTTTTAACTGGGACTTATTTTGTAATAAAAAGTATAAAATATTTTTTCTTACTTAAATTATTATAAAAAAAATTTTTTTAATAAAACAGACATGATTAAAAAAAAATTTTTTTTTCTTTATACTTTTTATATTATTAATAATAGAATATTAATAATATAAGTAAAAAACCAACTTACTAGAATATATATTTCTAAGTTTTTATTTGTTATCTAATAAACAAAAACTTAGAAGATTATTTAAATAAAATCAATTACAGACTAGTTATATTCTATTGACTCTAATTAGACCTATTAAAATTTTTTAAAAAAATAAGAAAAGGTATACAGTATATATTTATATATAGATTCCTATAATAATTTACAGAAAATTTCTTAAAATCTGCAAAATATTATTATAATAATTTACAAAAAATTTCTTAAAATTTGCAAAAGTTATTATAAAATTATATAAAAAAAAAAATCAATTGTTGTTTTAATAAAAATCAATTCATATACTATTGTAATTTTTATAAGTTTAAAATTGGTTCAAACTTTTTATATCTTTTTAACAATATTTATTTAATCTAAAAAATTTATAATTAGAATTAATTATTTGATTCTTATTTTAAATACAATAGGTATCATAAATATCCAGAATTTTTTATAGTAAGTAAAAAAAAATTTTTTTTTTATTAATTATCATTGAAACTTTGTATATATGTTCCACGTCATTTTTCAATTTATGTTATTTTTTAATTTCTACCGATTGAGAAATAACATAGCTTAATTCTTAATGTATATGATTTACATCATTTTATGTCATACAATTACGTATTATATTGATAAAAATAAATAAATAAACTTAAAGTTTATTAAATAATTTTTCTTTTACGATTTTTTTTACCAATATGGAATCATCAAATTATAATTTTTTAACTCGAGAAACTTTTAATCGAATTTTAGAAAATTATATTAATAAAAAAAAGAATAAACGTTGCTTAATGAATAAAAATTGTTATAATGAATACTTAAATGTATTAAAATATCCTAATAATTCACATAACCCATCTTTTAAATATTGGATTTTTCATACTTTTAAAATAATTCAATTTAATATGATGGAAGAACTTCATTTAATCAAACATGATGAAATTAATTTGGGTACACAAGTTTGTATAAAAGAAGGTTTTTATAAAATAATATGTGTAGCACATTAAGCTACAGAATATGGTGGTCAGGAAAAAACATGGAAAAAAGTAAATATTTGATTTTATAATTTTATTTTTTAATAGTTCTAATTACTTTTAAAAATATTTTAGATTTGTGTTTGGTATTGTTATATTCCACAACAAGTAGTTGAAGATGCAGTTTGTGAATATAATATGTGTGTTACATAGCGATTTTTTAAAAAAGTTCCTCCTATGTATCCTATTATATCAGAAGGATTTTTAAATTATATACAAGTAAGTAATAAATTATTTAAATTAATATAAGTAAATTATTTATTTATAAAAAAATTTTTTTAAATAAAGATTAATACAATCGATATGACTGCAGTACCAGATGAAAGCTATCAAAATATTTTTCATATTAGAGATCATTTTACACGATTTTCATATGCTAAGCCATCACAATCCAAATCAGCTAAAAATGCAGCAATGTGTTTATTTAATTTCTGTATGATATATGGTCCTCCCGCAGTTCTTCATTCTGATAATAGAAAAGAATTTGTTGGAAAAATTGTTCAAGAAATATTAAATATTTGGACAAATATAAAAATAGTTCATGGTCGACCTAGGAATCCTCGATGTCAAGGTCTTATTGAAAAAGGCAATAATATACTTCAAACAAAATTAGGATCTTGAATAGATGAAACACGTAGAACAGATTGGAGTATTGGATTAAAATTTGTAATTTGTTAGTATTTATTTATTTTTTTTTATTTATAATAAATTAATATTTATTAAATTTATTTATATAGGGGCAATGAATAATCAATATTGTTTAGCTCATAAAACTATACCTTATAATTTAGTTTTCAGTCAACTTCCACACAGTGATACAAATCTTGTTGATATTTTAGAAGATGATGATTTTGAATCAAGTTTATTAAATAACTTGTCCAAAACTGATTCTGAAATAACAATTATATTTAATAATAATAAAACACAAGAAATTATTGAAGTTAATTCAGATTTTTCAAATAATCGATGTTATACTGCAAAAGAAAAAGAAAAATGACATGCAGATTCAGTTGATTTTCAAGTTTTCGACAAAGTAAGTTATTATTATTAATAAATTATTTTATTTTATTTATTGTATTATTATACTAAAATTTTTTATTAGTTATGGGTACTATTACATAATATATCAAATTTACAATATTCAATATCCAAGCAACATGAATTAATTCGTCAATCAACAATTTTAAATATAAAAAAAAATCGAGAATTTATTCAAGATAAAATAAAAAAAAGATACAAGACCAAATATGGATATATATTTGAATCCGGTGAACTTGTAAAGATTTATATTCCTGATATTGACAAAGTAAAAATGGATCAGTGATTTTTACCTTGCAAAATTATTCAAAAGAAACCTGATTGCGATGCTTATCAAGTTGCTTGTCAATTTGGAATACTTGAAAATTGGTATTTAGCAAATGAACTTGAACCATTGGGCACTCAAGACTATCCTGAACTTGATATAGTTCCTTTGAATTGTACAATTTCATTAAGGCAAGCAAGTCATAAACAAAATTTTACACGATTATCTCGATCTCCAAAAAAATATGAAAAATTAAATAAAGATATTGAAACAATAAGCTTATTTTCTAAGTAAGTAATTTATAAATAATTATTATTTAATTTTTGATTTATTAAAACTAACTTTTATTATAATTTAACAATGATAATTTAAATGAAGTAAGTTCTTTATTTAATCAAGAAGAAACTACTTCAATTCAAAAAAATTATTCTAATTGTTATTGCTGAAAAACAAATTGTGAATCTAAAGCATGTTCTTGCTGAAAAAACAATAAATTATATATAAGACAATGTGAATATATATTACGTAGTCAATGTAAAAACATATAATTATTAGATTATATTTTTTATTAATAAAAAATTTGCTTTGTATTGTAAGAGGGAGAATAAAATAATGGGTAACACGATTCGGGTCACGTGACCAATGATCGACCCGGAAATCGCGAGAAGAAATGTAGAACTGAAACTGGCACTAAAAATGAGATAAAAATGATGTAATGAGCGTTTTATTATGTAATTAGTGTTAGAAACAAATAGAATTTCCTTATCTTTTGTCATGTTTCTACAACTTTCTAATAATTTCTATTGAAAAGTGTATAAAAACGATAGCATTTAATAAAGGAAAAAGGGAGAATCACTATATAAAACAATAATTAAAATACTCACATGGGCCAAATCTAATGCCTCGTCTCTTTGATTAACTTTATTAAGAGTGGACCGGTGGTTACGCGAATTCCATCATCATTTAGCAACAGACTCGCCATTCTGCCCTTCACAGTATATACCAATTATGAATTAATATATGTCGTTTTTAAATTTATAAACAACATATGTTACTTTCAAAGTGAGATAAATTGAAAAATGACGCGGAACATATATAATTTAAATTTCAATCCTTTTACTCTCTTCTGATTAATTTTTGCTTCATTCTGCTTAGAAGCTTTCTAATTATTCATAATCACTTGTTTTTCTATATACAAACTCAACATTTACTTATCCAAATACATTAATTATCAAGTAAAATATTTATACAACAGCTTTATTCAAAACATTAATATTTAACTCAAAAGTAAACAGATCACCCTAATATTGATTTTTGACAAAAAACAATTTCTTCCAACTACTTTTCAAGACACTTTGACATTTATTCTTATTCTTCACTTAACCAGTTATAGCATATTTCCACTAATCAATTTTAATCTCACAATTAGTATTATATAATGAATTAAATTTATAAACTATTATATTAATCTCTTCAATATTCTTCTAAATAAATCTGCTATAAACAAATTCAAAAGCTTTTCTGAATTGGACATTATCATCAAATCTAACAAAAGACTTAAAGCAATTAACAAAATGAACTTCTAATCACTTGTTACTTTTAGAATCAAGATTCTAGCAAACCAACTTTCTACTTGAGTAAAGATAACTTGTGTTCTCACTGCAAAACTTACCTAGAAACTCTAAACCACATTTTTTTGTGCCACTATTGCCTTTCCTTTTTGAGAAAAAAAAAACAAACTTGAGATCCTCATTACCTCAATATTCCTAAAGAAAAACTAAATTTAAGTAAGGCTTATCTTCTTTAAACAATCAACATAATAAGCAAAACTTTACTTGATATAGCTCTAGGCAAGTTTAATATCTCTTTTGACATTATTTGAAAAAAAGAAGAAATCTCAAACTACATTCTCAAAATATTGCATAAATCTGAAAGCAGCACTCAGCAACTATCACTATCTTAACAACTTCAGAAATTATATGAAAAAAAACTATTTCAGCAACAAACTCTGACATTAACCATTTAAATACAAGCACTTTTTAGAAAGTTCTCAATACCTTAAAAAATTCAAATAATTTTACTGACAAAAAATTTTTTACACTAACAATAATATTATCATTTTGAATAAGCATTAGCCATTCAATACTTTTAATATATAAACACCTACTTGGTGCCAATTCATACTGATTTTAAAGTTGCAATAAGCTACAATTAATTTAATTTCTATATATCTTAAAGATTGTTAATGTAATAATAATAAACTTTTGTTTAATAAATATTTTATATTTAATGTCTATTTATGATTTAAAAAAAATTAAATTAAATTAAATTAATAAAATAATTATAAGTAACTTGTTTTTATATACAGTATTATTTCTAAAATTTTATTTAATTTAAATTATTATTTATAAAATTATAAATACAAATATAATTTTAATTTTTTTTAATAAATTATTATTATTATTATTAATTAGTTAAAAATATTAAATACAAGGTTTTTATTAATAATTTAATATTCTACTATTATATCAAATATCTTTATAAAACTAATTAAAACTTTTTCCCAAACATACTCACATCGCAAAAAATTACTAAATTAGGAAACCCAAAATTTCTTCGTGAAAAAAAAAAGCAAAAGACCCTGGGAAGACCTCCCTTTCCAAGGGTCAAATAGTTAATCATGAACACGTCTTTCTTGATATACTTGTCACCAACATTAAAAATCCTCAAGCCATTATCATCTACAGAAACACCAAAACAAAAAAAATTTCTGTCTCTACTCCTGCCCAATCAATCCACCTTCCCAGGCTGGGAAACTGCCCTAAAGTATGGATAACACCTGTCCGCTCTTTACAAAGTAAACTAGAAAGTGTCAATATCATTAATGCCACCTTTGAGGAATGTCAAAGAACCAGATTATCACCTATACTCACACTCATTACCAGAACCCTGCCAGAACCAATGCTCCTGGAAGACCTAAATTTCTTCATGGAATTCCAAACTAACAGACAAGAACAGAACAGACATCATGAGAGAAGTTATGAAGCATGATCTCAATTATGGTCTGCACATCCCCTGGGAGAAACTTAATATTAACACTTTCGAAGAAAAAAAAACTTTTATTCTTGAAAGAAAAACCAGGACGTCTTTACCCCCACCAAACACACCTGTACCCACAGAGGAAATGATTGACAACAATAGCATGCAGTTTGATTTTTCTCCTGTGACAATCCCTGCATCAACCCCTGAACCTGTACCACCCATTGACAATAACCCAGCACACAATTTATACGAATCTGAAACAAGTAATGCATGCACTCCTGCATCTCCACATGAGAATAATAGTAATCCAAGTAATACACAAAACACCACGAAATAGAAATTGATGATCCTTCCACAGGGGCTGAGCCACACCTGCAATCCACAACTAACTCTTCCTCTTGAGCTGATGAAACTGAAGCCACACTATTGTTAGCATAATAATTACATGGGTGGAAAAGAGGCATGACAGAATGGGGATAAGGGTATGGGGTTGAGTACCAGGTCTGGCACGGTGCAGGGTCAGATGCATCAGATTATACATCAGTAGAGGGCTAAAAGTATGTAAAAGCTTGTTGTAAAACTTGTAGAACGCAACAATTGATTTGAGAATGTGTTGCAAGCAATATAAATAGCTGTAAAGTAGAATCAAAATGTAATAATTGACAATTGCTAAATAAAGAAGTCCCC